AAGTAGGCCGCACGAAAGAATTGTTTGATTGACCTCACCTAAATCGTCGAAAAAACTAAAAAAGGATGACTTGATTGCCTTTGATTGCGATTTTGGAGACGCTGGCAGTTTCACTGAGATTTTGGGTGTCACTGTAATCCTGACGAATGCTCCAGCTTCCAATTGCGGATCTGGGCTGCTCCAGTCTTTGCGAAGAGTAACCTATATTAGTAATATGTCAAAAATGGATGAAATGTGATCTCAATTCGAGAAAAAAAGAAAAAATATAAGAAGAGAGGAAGAAGGAGACGAGAACGAGTAGCTGATGTTGAGGAGGAGAAGGAGGTCAAATAAAGAACGAAGAATTTCAAAGATCTAGTCGTCGTTGCTCAGGCTTGTTGGCGCTCACTTACCGAGTTACAGTGACGAGGCGTTCGATTTTCGCTTTGATTTGATGCTTCCACTCCGAAAGAAAAAAAGACCCTTTCTATCCTAAATGCAAAGCGAAAACGGTAGGCCTCCATCTTCTTAGCATGAGGATAATTAACAAGAAGAGGCTTAAGAGGACGAATATTTAAAGACATCATCCAAATAAGTTTTGACTTGATTGAAGTCATGGTAAAATAAAATCCCACGGAAGTATGACGGTGCTAATCGCGGAAAAGCTCAGATATCACATAATTTTGGAACAACTTTGTGAAAAAGTAGCAGTGTTGCAATCCTTGACACGGAGCAAGAGGTACAAGCAGCCATTTTGTCGACAGGTAGAGACCAGTCTATCGGCAAGAGGTTTATAAAGTATATCTAATGCTTGAATGATCAATAAATGAAAAATTACTGTGTATTTTTTCTTCCCTTACAGTATCAGCAGTTTTGTAGCAACTATCACGGCTCCAACGGCATTCACCTCCAAGAGATACCCCTCCATTGACTGATAATGAACGAGAAATTTTTCCCTAGGGTAAAAGACAGTGAGCTAATTAAACCTCTTTGTATATAGACGATATTTTCCTTAACTACTCGAAATCATAAAT